AAAGCTAGCACAACAAGCATTGCCAGGCACGGTCCCACCGTGCCCGCAAGCAACCGGGATGAACTTCAGATAAATAAGCATATAATATTAACTCAGAAAAGTTTACCGATAGGATATACTGCACATTTAGAATTATTTTACAATATTACCAACATAAGTGCAATAATAAGAACTGGTATAATTTAGGAGAGGGAAATAAGTGCAGTCTAGTAAGGAATGTTAATAATCTTGTTTAGTCTATTCGTCCCGTGTCTAGTACACATTGGGAGGCGTAAGAAAAGGTCTTTTTTTCCAAAGCGACTCCATTATGCCGAAAAGTACGCACTATTTCTTTTATTCCGACAGACGGATACTGAGAATCAATTGGAGCACTCGGTTTAGCGCAAAAATACGATAAAAAGAACGACGTTAGGCTCTTTGTAGAGCAGCAAACAAGTGCTGCTGCGTATGCTACGTGTTTCTACGCTGGCCCACATGCTCTATAATGCAAAATGCCGGCCTTTTTTTAATAAAACGTTTTCTCTGACTGTTTATTGTCACCTGCGTTGACCTTAGAATTTGCCCACACCTAGCTTAAGCTGATCAGATTCATTAGGGTTGTTGGAAGAAAGAAAAAACAGGAAATTTGGTGTAGGCAGTAGTAAATGACATTTCGACCGTCGGTCTCGATAAGGTCCATTGTGTGCGCTCCACAGCAACGTGGCACAGGCACGGGAGTTAGTGGTAGCAGACTTGCGATGCATCTATCGCGTTCTCTACTCCTTTCACGTCCGGGTTCGGTGTCATGACCAAGTCAAAAAGACTGGAGGCGGAGAAGGGCGCCTGTGGCTGGCGCGGCCAGAGCCGTCCCTAGAAGGGCCGTAACATCTGGTCGGAGCCCACGGAGTGGGAGTTTATACAAACACATGGGACAAACACTAGGGCAGTTAGAATTAAATGACAGTTGGTGTGAGGAATGAAATTTTGACTGGGGATGAATGCAATTTAACTTACTGATGTGGTCGATGGATCCCGCGCAGAACTTTCCGAAGAAGGTTTTTGCACCCAGCGATTTGAGGTCATGGATGAGAAAGGGCCAAAGGTGGAGGATGTTGTGCCTAGACATCAAAAAAAATTGGCTGGTCATGGGGCAAATAATAAGGCTCGACTTTGTATTTTTAGAAAATTAAGTTAAATACAATAGGCAAAAACTCTGTTTGCCATACTTGCGAATTTTTTGGCCATAATGTAGGCTCTTAGAGTGACTAGTAAACTGTTGTAGTGAAACTGCATATTAAAATAGCACCACCTGTACAAAAATCTCAAGTATATTGTTGAAAGTCGACTATTTTGTTTAACCCTACACCTGTTTCACAAAACCGCTGAACCCAGACCAGCTCACAGCTGTCTCCATTTAGATGAGTGGATGCTCCGTGGTGGAAAGAACCAGAGAAAATAAGACAGTGATCAGGAAGATCACTAATTTTTTTTCAGCCTTCGGTGGGCATTGCAGATGGTAATCATGAGAAAAAAACGAGAGGAGAATGAAGAGGAAGATTAGAAGGCGGAAGATCGCAAGGAATCGGTAGACGGCTGTGGTAATGCCAAGCGAAATTCTGTCAGTTCAGTATGCATAGGTCAATATGATTTAGCCAAACCTAAGGAAATAATTAGCGTTCTATATAGGACGGCGAACGCGAAGACTGTCAAATATGGAGGCAGCTGCGTGCAGCAAGCGCAAAATTGAGTTAAAAACAGAAAAGCAGAGCTTTCAGCGATCTGTCCGCGATAAATCGCGGGCACTGGCTGACTACATATGACCAGACTCGAAAAACGGCGGCAGAAGAAAAGGGTGGAAACGGGTTTTATAAAAAGCCATCCAACAAGTAGTCTAAGCCGCTAGGGGATAATTTTGCATAGTAAAGTGGGAAAACCACTCAAGGGTTTATGCGAGTGTGCGACTTGCGCCCAACAAATAGGGTGAGGGCTCGGAACACTAAGAGACACAGTACAGGGGTAAGGAGACCGCTTAGCACAGACATGAAACCAGTTCTAAAATAAGTCAAGTCAAATTGGTAGTCTAGAAAAAAAAAGGATGGGGAGGATTCGACGCGGTAGATTTAAAAATATTTTCAAGTCATGCAGTCCTCTGCGTACTCGCTTACTCCAACATGTAAATGTCTCAATAGGACCTAAAGCTACATTTCTGTTGTTCGAGCTTCAGCTGTCAATCTAAGCACAGACATGCAAATGAGCGGTTTCTAAATAAAAACAGTTAGTACTTTTTGAGATGACTATGCCTGTATGGTAACGCACACCAAAAAATTCAG